TGAATAATTTGTGAACATTTAAGGGTATTCAATGACGTGGAAAGCGTTTGGCTTTTTTAAAACATTTCACTGGTCCCTGTATCTTCCTAGTTTGACTTCTAACTTGAACTGGCCATCTCCGCTGTGCCACATTTTATGACGTTTTGATGAAATACTTGACTTGATAGAACAAAATAACTAAGGCGTTATCACAAGTTTACTAACAATTTTAATGAGATAATTATTGCGTTAGAACGAGAGAACTAACAAAAAAAGAAAGGTTGAATTTTAACGAGTCACGATTTTCGCTTGCTCTTAAACCCGAAAACCATCGCGTGCTAATAAGGTCATTTTGTTATAAAACAAAATAACTAATGCGTTTTAACGAGACAGATTTCGTTTTTGTGATACCCTTCCCCATCATCACGTATTCAGTCAACAATGTTTATCTCATTGCATATGATAAACACTAAAGATAACTTTCCTGTGTATCAATTATATACAGAACAAGGCATTTGGAAGTAAATTGGTTAAATCTAGATCTCGAACCGCACTTCGAGTTAATATATGAGATACATAAGAAATAATATATGCATTATTACCATCGGCTTTAGGAATAAATATATATACTCAGCAAAGATATAGTGTAATCCAAATCAAAAATTAGCTGAAAATGATGAAAAAGAGGTACAACTTGGAAAATAGATTATTTATCTTCTTAAGAAGTCATCAAGTTATTTAAATTACAGGATTAGTAGAGTTCTTCGTATATATTCTGACATAATCATTGTGAACCAGTTTTAACATTCTTTAGTTACTTTAGTTTCAATACGTTTGGATCGTAGCATCTCTGGCGAGTCCTAGTAAAGCGAAAGAGCTGTATGTCGCATATAATTCATCATTTAGCTTAAAATGCTTTCACCTTTGTTTTTGTAGTATCCTTTGATATCTATTTAATGTATTGTATAAACACGCTGGATTTCCAGCTTCTGAGTCGATATGAAACACTAAAACACTTAACAGTAAAGGACATACACATCAAACAGTATATAATTTAGGTAAACAAAGAATGTGTAGCGCTTCATTTGCTCAGTTTTTGCTTCCTTAGCATTAAAATCAAATTTAAAATTAAATATTGAATATTAAGTTTAAAGTAAATTCATCTATTCATCTGATTTTTACAGCTGTTTCGACCAACGTTTACTTTCCCCAGTTGCCTTTTAGGTTTCAACAATTCACAATGTTTTCATCGTTGATGAATCCTAGAACGATGAAAAAGCTGCAACTTAATTCATCAACTTTGTGTTTTTTTTTGTATAATCCATCGATGGGTTGCTAGTTGTTAAGGTGCTATTTTTGGGCGCTCTCATGTTTTTCATTAGCCGAAGACTTTTTCTTGCAAACAAAAGCCTCAGATTAACGCAACAGTCACCATTTTTCATTAAATATTTATCAATCATATTTTGTCTCTCTAGGGTTCTCAATTACTTTTCTGAGGACGGTGTTCAGTCTACAGGTCGAGTTGTGGACATGATTCTACGCGACACAGTGGATTTGGTATTCGGGCATCCATCGTCACGTGGTAAGATTAAACCGTAGCAAGAGAATGACGGTCAAATCCAGAATTATTTGAATTATTCCGGTAAACAGGATTTGTCCAATTAAAATAAAATGTTTTACTTGTGTACAATTGTGTTTTTTGGTAACATGTTCAGAGACTGGAGCTTGGTGTTGTAACAGTTGTACTTACCAGAACAACGAAAGAATGATAGCTGTTCAAAGATAATTTATTAATGACATATAGATTTAATTGTGACAAGAACAGGATCACAATTTTCCATTATCCAATATCGCAATATTTTAGGACAATTGCACATAAAATCATGACAATTTGCTTCCCATTACAACAAAAATGGAGTACAAAATATAGGCACCGATGATGAAAATCAGCTGGATAAATGAACAAAATGCATGACCTGCTACTAGATGTTCTTCATCACCCCATCAGAAAAAAAAACGTTTTATTTATCTCTTAGGAATACATACATATTTGTTTCAATCAGCATGGTAAAATACAAATTCTGGGTGGAGTTGTAAGAAATATGTCAAAACAAAAAAGTTTAGTTCATTTGATCAACTACACTGTTCTGTCCATATAATTACTTGTACCTTCTTTTTGAAACATAAAACTAGGTTTTTGCACTACTTCTCATTACGACATTACTGTCTAGAATAAACAATAATTGATTCATTTAAATCCACAATATTGGAAATTATTGTAGATGCGGTTGCAAATTATTTTAACCTTAAATCATTATGTAGGCTACAATTCATTCGATATTACTGTTCATCTCCTAACATCTTCTTTGAAGCATAAACACTAGCGTACACAGTTATTGATGATTTTGTTAATCGATAGATACCAAGGTGCACGAAGTCGTCATTAATGAGGCATCTCTGAAGCTATCTGTTTTAAATCGTGACATTTTGGACCATATTAATTTAGTTATCTCATACAACTCATGTGAGCTTTCTATCTAATGATTAGTACCAAAGGGGCGTTCGTGATCGATCTCTACAATTACGTTGCGTTAGTGACACGAGGATGTTACCTATAGTACAGAAAACATTAATAGTCATGTCCTTTTCTCCTTGTACATTCTTTTTCAAGAGTTTCCATGTAAAATGTGTGTTTTTTAAAATCCAATATTTTGCCCTAGTCAAATGTAATATTAGCAAATTACGATTTTGATTGCTAATAGATCGAAAATATCTTACATTATCTTGTAATATTGACTTGTTATGAAAATAATTCAAGACGTGTATATTTGAATGAATAGAATTTTATTGTTCTCATGTTTTTTTTTTATTATTTCTTATTTTCTCAAGCTAACATACCAGTTTCGTATATGACTTCACACTACAATATCCCTCACATTTCCTGGTCTTCTCTGGACGTACTACTATCGGACAAATCTTTGTTCAAGACTTTAGTTCGGACGAAAGGACCGACGGATAAAGTGGGTAACACAGTCCTGTCATTACTTCAGAAATTTTCGTGGAACAGACTTGGAATATTTGGAGAGGATTACGGTATGTCCACTAAATTCTTTTATGGAGCATTTAACATTGTTAGAAAGTATGCAAAATAGACGATATCAATTAAACGAGAATGAGATGCGTTATTTCTATTAAGCTTCTTACTACTGCTAAATTGAAAGGATAGCATGCATCCGAATTCAATGTTTTAGAAAGAAAAAAAGCCCTTCCTTAGTATTCTTACGTCAGAATAAAAATAAAATTGAGCTACATGACATGTCTTTGATTCGCCTTTTTGTATTATTTAGCCTTATGACCACATGACGTCATCAGATAATTTTATTTTGTGTTATTTAGCCTTATAACCATGTGACGTCATCAGATAATTGTATTTTGTGTAATTTAGCCTTATGACCATGTGACGTCATCAGATAATTTTATTTTGTGTTGTTTAGCCTTGTTTTGTGTAGTTTCGCTATATTCCATGCCGTGACATCACTTTGTTCTGTACAATTCAGCAATGTTACACGTCCACAAGTCTCTTTGTTTTGTGTAATTTAGCTATATTACATGTCACCAAGTCAGTTTGTTTTGTTTAATTTAGCTATATTACCTCCTCAAATCAGTTTGTTTTGTCTATTGTGCTATGTATTATGTCTGTTAAACAATTTGCTTATCGTATTTCAGCCATATGTTATTCCTAAGCCACGTTTTGTGCATTGAAGCTGTATGGCATGGCTATAGGTCGATTTGTTTTGTGTAATTTGTCAGTTATCACAATTTTAGATAAAAATTCTGGAAGTCTCCTCTCATATTCCAGGTATACGCCATTCTGTAAGAGAATACATTTTTGTCTGCTGGAGCAATATATAAAGTCATTGTATAAACGTACTTCACCAAACAGATCTATCTTTGAAAAACATAACTTCTTTTACAGCAAATACTGATACGATTCATTATAAAGACCTTTACTGATTCAGATTTCTGAAAATTACGAAATTTATTGAATTATGGAATTAGCACATTTCGTCATCTAGATTTTGAATTTTCTTTTCATTAATTTAGATTGCCTTCAAAGGCTTCCTCTGTTTCCTCAACATTTAGGCCCTATTCTCACTGACGAGTCAAAGGACAAAACAACTGTATACTGTTGTTTGATTCATCATGTGAGAATACTTAATACATTTCTAGATTTCTATTAAAATATGGTACTCGATTGCATGTCTTTTGTACTAACTTTACGTCCTACTTCATGACCACTTGGCATTGTCTAATTTATAAACGACATCATGTTAAAACGAATTTTCATTGTTGCATATCTATATAAAAGTCTTATGAACAATGACAGATCGTTTTCAATGCTTATCAATACTTATAAAAAAGAAATCCTTATCTGCTGTTATGATTCTAGATATATCGATATTTGCGTCATACATGATAACACATGTGCACAAAGCACTTTCTCTTGAACACAAAATCGCTTCCCGACAGAATCGGCCGCGATAATGTTGGCCACTTTATATTACGTATTTCGTAATTCTGAATTGACTTAGAGTTAATAAATAACTTTTGGCATACCCATAATAAAATCCTGTAATATAAAACGGGATTTTACTAACTGTGTCGCTACTGTTTGTGTCCTTTCTGCAATCACGTGTTCGTATTTACAGTTTCAAGACTATTACGTTATGTTATCATCGCTAAAATTTCCAGAACCAAAGAAGTGGTCAAGCTGGACGTTGGAAATCGACTGTGATAACATAGAAACGTAAATGGAAATGTATAAAGCATGTACAACCAGTAACAAAATTAATATTTTAACACGGATGTCCCTTTCATTGTCTTTGTCATACATATATTGTATTTATTTAAAAAGTTAGTGTCATTTAATCTTGTGTCATTTAGAAACATCACTATGTTACATCAGTATTGTGTATTCCACTGATACGTGTTGACTTAACCTTAAAGTGTGTTTTTTTCAGGGATTTGTCTTTATGTCACAAACAGTATCGTTCAGGCACTACAAAACACTGAGATAGCCATAGCCTCCTATACAGAATTCGACAGAAATACGATAACGGATAAAGATATGATCAAAACCTTGATTCATCTAAGAACCACGGCAAGAAGTAGGTCATTTCAATATGAATATAATACTCAGTCTTCAATCACAAGTACCATTTACTTCTTGTGTAAATAAGATTATTTTACATGTAAGCTTTCTCTAAATTCTAGGAATTAATAAAGCACTTCGTTGTCTGAATAGTATAACTCTGTGACACTATATCTTCATGTCTGAATAGACTCAACTGTATCTGTAGTGTCTGTGTGTTTAGCATTCAGGAATAAGATAAAGTTTGTGTACAAGCACATGTTTCTTTATTCCAGCATGGCGGCTAAAAACAGAATGTATAAGCATGCGCAGTCACTACTACAGTTATAGGAATTGCCACACAGGACAAACTGTATGAATGTAGTACTAATAACCTTAACATGCGCTTGCAAGTAATTACAAACATAACACTATTGTAGCACGGATGTCAAAGGACACCGAGTAAAAAATGTCACAAAAACTCCAGAGGCAACTTATTTAGGCATGAAGTTCATTATATGTATGACGTGTATATTTTGCTTTTACAATGATCCATTGCACCATTCATCACAATGTTACTGATGCACTTACGGAAAAAAAGTATTGAAATGTGCTATTGAACTGCGTGTCTTTTGTATTGTGATAGGTCAGCTTTTGAAATCCTTTCTATTCTAGTTGTCGTCGTCTGCTCTTCGAGGCTGTTCCGGAAGATCATGCTGATAGCCTGTCAACTGGGCATGTGTAACGGAGAATATGTGTTTATTGATCCGTACGCAATTTCAGGGGAAGCAGAATACAGTCCATGGCAAATAGGCGATGAGGACGACGACAAGGCTAAAAAGGCATATAGACATGTCATTAAGGTAGGAATAAAACCGGTTATTTCACCAGAGGAGGTTGTCAACCTGTCATATATTATTATTTAAAAAAAAAACAGCATAGCCTGTAAAGATCTTATGCATTGAGGATGTTGGAGTTACTTGGGGATGGATGAGGGTTATGGTTTTGTTTGATGCAGTTTGTTAACTATTCTGAAGTTTACTTTCCCTATTTCGAACATAGCCAATACTGTACTTCATTTATTATCAGAATACATATGCGTTTTAATTGGGAATTCAGTTTTTCAATTGCGCGTTTGAAAACATATTTTCGCATTTTTGATTGATTCAAATAATGTAAAGTTTCTGAAACGGTCATGTGAATCAGAAATCGCATGAAACTAAGCACGTCACTAAATTTTAACGTGAGCTAGGATTTAGTGTAACACAAATCTTCATTGTTCTGGTTTTCTAAAATAAAAATCCTGCAAGAAGCTCTCATGGTTAATAAGGACATGAAATATCAAATAACATGAAAGAGAGGAAAGTACACGTAGCATGGGAGTTCTAGCAGCCAGAGGCCAGCTGTTTATACAACGTATTCATCTGCAGATTATAATGTAGATAACAGGCAATTAACTCGAAAATACAGGAAAAGTTATAGGAAGCACAAACATAGTTAAACGAGAGTATACATACAAGAGTAGAATTGAAAATATTTGAAATTTTCTTAAGAGATATTTGGAGTAAAAAACAAAAAGAAAAATCGACCAAGAAATTTTTTTGTAGGTAAATGATGATGAAGAGAGCAATTTTTAGATACGGGAGGAACCTTATAGCTATATGACATTAATAACCATCCATGTAGATTTGTTCAGTTGATGAAGAGTTCTCTTGAGGATTATAAAATGTCCGTTTGAGAGCTCACCAGTGGCAGGATATTTTCATTACTTCTGCATATTAGAAAGTTGATCCCATTGACATTTCTGATATCCCGTCAATAAAGTCCTAGTTTGTTACAAATATGACTGCAACAAATTGCCATGCTGCAAAGGAGACGATATCTTAAATTAGCAAAGGAAGATATGATATGTAATTTGCAAAAGTGGAACGTTTAAATAACGGTGATCCTTTGCGACGTTCGTTGACTTAAAGACTGGCTATACAAGCTTTAACACAGTAAATCAATCACAGAACATTTGGAGTTCAGCTGCTATAAATACCAAAATAAGTTTCAAGAGTGTTTGTTTACATTATAACACAAGAAAATGGTTAAACATATTATCAATATTCGATGTATTAACTGCCGATGTCTCGTAAATCGAGATACAACAGTGCCTTTGTTATATTGTTTGATTTCATACGTATTAGCATATTTAAACAATTGGTGAATTGTTCTATAGACAGCTTCGAAATTTTATAGCATGTTGTTATTTTGAGTCAACTGTCTTAATTCTTCAATGGTTGCAAAAAACACCAGGATATCTTTATGAAAACAAAATATTAATCCATATTTCACATAAAAAACGAATTCAAATATTAGCAGAAGAGATTTTTGTATACGCGAGTATAATAATGTGTTCCGGATGGGTTAGCATATTCTGTTTCAATGTAAAATCTTGGTAAATCCATTCAAAACATGCATGCAGTCGGTTTTCAGGCAAATGATACCATAACAGCTAATTAATCCACAAACTTTATGAAAGTTTACATACATAGAAACACATACAAAATTTCTAAAAAAAAAAAAAAAAAAAACGTTCATGTGTGTATATTTCTAGGTGCTCTTGTGCTGTTTTGTTTAGATTCTACAGGCACAATGGATGGATGTTTCCTCCAGGCAGCATGTCGAACGAATTATCGCAGAAGTGCCTTCACGCATGCATGACCCGCCATGGAGTAACACTGAGGCTACGGATATGGGGATCTTGGTATATTGTTATGACGTTACGAGAAACAAAAATTGCGAAAATGACTACTTCTATTGGCAAATGTTATCAAATTTCACTGTTTATTCCATTACGATTATACTTATTCGTTTGAATATTACATGTAAAGGCTACGACAACTCGTTCACTTATATAACAATTTCCACATTAATGAATTACGGCATTACCATTATAGATTACTATAATACTGTCTACAGGGATCTAAAAATGTGGCAACAGTTTACGATGCTGCTTATGTTTGGTTCCTCTGGCTGAACCACACAAAGGCTTATAACCTCGATTACAGAGATGGGCGTGGGCTGTTCCTGTTCACTGAAAACCTAACATTCCTAGGTACGTGGGAGATATGTGTTTATTGTTTTTGCTATTGAAATCAACCTTGCTGTATCATAATTGCACGGATTCATAATATGTCAATACATACATATTGATATAATATATATGTATCTTTTTTTCTGAAATATTCCATATATCTATAGGAATGTATATTTTCAATACACATTATTTCAATGCACAATTTATTAAGATATGAAATTATTCAAAACAAACTAAAGATAATTTTAACTCACTTAAAGCAGTAGTAAGATAGAAAAGAGCAATGAGGATAATATCCAAAAAAAGTCCATCGAATGAATATTACATTTGATATATGAAAATATCATGCGCAGAAAACGATGTTGTCATTCACAAGTCTCTAACTTCAGGTCCTGATGGCACGGTGTCTTTCGATAACAATGGCGACCGTGAAACGATATTTTGGATTCTTGATTGGAAGAACACGTCCGGAGTGTCTCGTATAATTGCCACTGTGGACATTAAAGCAACTGAAGTGAGTTCAACAAAATCGTATTAAAAACACGATACTCTCTCAAACTAATTATTGCATTACCAAACCACAGACTGACGTTTTCCGAAGGTTGGAATTGTTTCTCTACTTTAAGGACAGGTTTCAAGAAATTGAAACACTTTTCACTGCTATTATGTTATATATTTACATTTCCTCTGTTCATTCTATTTGCAAGGTATTTTTTGCGATTTTTATTTTCGTCTTCGACAATAGGGAAACCTTGAAACATTCGAAAATAATTTGTGTACAGTGTAAAACGAAACGAGGCTCTACTTACACAGTTTGCAAATATGCACATAGGTTTTTCAAATATCGCAAGACCCGATGTGGTTGACGAGCAATGGATTACCTCCACCAGCCGTTCCTTTGTGTGGGTTTGACAACACCGGATGTCCCGTTATACCCTACAGTGCGTATACTTATACTTTAAACTTTTAATGGTGTTGGAGAAGAGAGATATTTGACATTTTCTTCCTTCTAAACAGCGAATTTACATGTTATATAATTTTATTCATTTTGAATTTTATTCAACTTGTTTGAAAAAGACAGAGCAAACAAACGGTTGTGATACATGACAAATATATTCAAATCAGGTCATTTTGTGGCAACGATCTGATATCATGAAGTTTGCAATATTACAAACTATTTAACACGGTTGGGTTATTTCTAGTCAAACAATTATTCGAATTAATATCGATTTTTTGTGACTAGTATTCATTTTGAACACTTCCCTAATTTACAGATAGAAACATATTAAAACAATTGAGCGCGCTACGTTTAAACTAAAATACTTTGAGCCCACTACGTTTAAACATTTAACGAAATAGATGTATGTAAAGACTTTGAGCAAGATATCAAATTCGCTTATTCCTAAGCTCAGTACCTTGCATACCAAGAGTCCGTAAACCATATAAATTTGCTTAAAGTGAAAATGTAATATTGAGTCCTTCCACGGATGATTTAACCTCTCTATATAAGTATACACGGAATCTACAAATAATATTTGCAATATTGGCCAACGTATTGTACGGGTAAATTTCAAGATATCTCATATTACGTTGAAGAATATTTATTTATGTACAGTACAGTAAACATGTAGATAAAGTATTTGACAGAAATTATACTATCTTTGATTGTAGTCTTATTTTAGAGACTTCCGCTGTAAAGATATTGCATTGCATTTCAATTGCGCGAATATTAGTTTCTGTACATCGAAAACATAATAATTAAAAGAAAGTGCTAATTCATCGATGAGTTTATTTGCTTAAAGTGCGCAAAAAATTGATTGCGGCAAGTGTCGGAAAAAAAGTGTCGGAATCGTTTCATGAATCTGATCATAGAGGTGATTTTGGTGATATTATTTAATCATTCTTTCGATGGTATTTATCTGATCGTTAAATGATCATAAAAATCTTGGTAACATCTCTTCACGTTGTATGATTTTGGGTTTTTCTCCAGATGCATTGCCGGTTGTCTTTGGAATTCTATGTCCAGCTATCCTTGTTGCTGTGTTCATTGTCCTCGTATGTCTTTGGCACAGGTAGGAAATTTATCAAGACATACTTAAATACAACACCACTAATTTTGTTACTCTGTCATTTGTTTATTCTGATATAGAGCTGTCAACGTGAAACAAGTGATGTTTCACATATTCAAATGAGAATGTCGATGATAATTTTATAAGGCACTATCTAGTTGGTTTTTTTTTGTTTTTTGTTTTTGTTTTGTTTTTTGGTTTTTTTTTTCTTTTTTGCTTGTTTGTTTTGTTTTTGTTTTTGTTTTTGTTTTTTTTGCTTTTGTAGATACATCTTGCATACAAAAACTTTGTTCTTAAATTATTCAGACACCAGTATGTGAATTCTTTTAATGTTAAATGGAAACTTTGTATTTAACAGAAAGAAGAAATATGAGAACGAAATCAAGAAAATGTTATGGAAAGTACAGTACCAGGATATTTTTAAACATAAAGGTCAAACAGGAGTTGGTAGTATGGTAACTGCCCTTTAATATACATGTATATCATTTGTTGTTTAAGTATAATCGTACACAATGTTTTAATTATATATGATTGTGTTTTGTATAACTTTCTGTCAAACGTTGATCCATATCGCTTTTTAATTTGATATTGAAGCAGAAAATTATATAATTTGTTGCGTTTTCTTTATTCATATATGAATATATTTAATCATTATCTAGGTCATGTATTAGACATTTATGTTCATGTCCAGTTTGCATATTTTGTTGAATTCCCTATTGTACGCATTATTCACAAAGGATGCAATTTATCTTAATATGATTGAAATGTCGTAATCATAACCGATAATATGTTGAATTAACCGGAATCATTTTGTATCTCTTTACAGTTCAGTAAGCTGAGTCTCGCTACAATATCTAATAACGGTGAGGACGAGAATCACTTTATAAGCACAGGCAAATACAAGGGCCTGACAGTGTCTATACGGATGTCAATGAACCAAATGGTGGTGCTGACTAGAAATGATTATGTGGAACTCCTAGCGGTAAAATCTGGCATTTACTTCATTTATTTTTCTTATATGCTATTAGAAAGGTAATGGTCTGTGTCCAAATCAATTCATGTGCTACTTATATACACGGGATGACCTTGCTACTTTTGCGATTGTTGTAGATGAAGGAAATGACTCATGACAACGTTAATCCGTTTATTGGCGCCTGTATTGATCCACCCAATGTATGTGTGTTGTTTCAGTACTGTTCAAAAGGCAGTCTACAGGCAAGTGGTATTTTAAAATTGTTCGATACAGTGCACTCATGGAACAAAGATAAAATGCATTTTGCATATAGCGACAACAAAATGTTCAGAACAAGTATAACTGATACATATTAATATTGCAATCCACAAATTCATTCACGCTGAACACTATTTAGCCGCCATTAAGTCACATGACTGACATGTGTTACCATAACTCAAGCAAAGGAATCAACGAAAACGATCAATTACTGCAAATTGAAATTTTTTGGCACACAACGCGACTAAAATAAACATTTGCAACATTTCCACTTAGTTTGTGTGATTTATCGATATGAAAATATGTAAGTGTTCAACGCATTGTAAAATAACGTTCGAAGAGTTTTCAAAAAGTTAAGCTATATCATTGATATGTGTTTATTGCAAACTGTGATGTTATGTTTTAGCCATTTGTCATTGTTCTTGCAGGATGTTTTGCAAAACGATGATATTAAGTTAGACTGGACCTTCAAAATGTCTTTGATAACGGATTGTCTGGAGGTAACAATACAAAACTTACGTAGCTACAGCTGTAGCCTTTATGTCTTGAATAAAATATTATAAATTATGCATAGAGCTTAAACAAAACGGCCAAAAAATAAGATGTGCTGGATTATAAAAAAGGACATTAAACTGACGTCATGTTGAACACAAGATTATGTCCACGGCGATAAATTTTTCAATGTGAGGATTTGACCATTTTTAGGTGATCACTACCATAAAATAGCTTTGCATTGACAATATATACTTACTCTATCACTAAAACATAAAGAATAGGTAATTTGAAGAACTCCAAAAATGTGTTTATTTTACCTGCTTTGGTGTCTCTTATCATTTCTTTTGCATTGAATAAATCATTTCTCTATCAGATACATAATGAATTGTACAACCAAAATTTTTGCTATCAATGCGTTTTGAACTCTGACCCTTTGTGGTGATTTACAGTGTAGTATCTTTCGATATTTCCATGTGTTCGTGTCGCCTCACCAAATTACTCTAAATCTTAAACACCAACAATTCATTAATAAAAAAAAAGAAAGAAAGAAAATATTTTTAACACCGTATTTTAAATTAAATTATTAGTTGATCATTCATCATAATAGGAACCATTATAGTCTGGTCTCGTGTTACCACAAAACAAGTAAATAACTAGCAGTTGGATAATATTTCATACCAAACAGTAGCCAGTGTCTGAAACTTTAATAATGATATTTCTAAAAAAAAAAAAAAAAAAGGGATGAACGATAATGTGCCGTGAAGCGTTTCGAGGATCTCAGCATACCAGCAGTATGCTAATATGACCTAAAACCGAATTCAACAAAGTAATTCTTTCCAAATTACATATATGATATACTCGAAATTACAGAAATTTTATCTTTGTCTTTTACAATATATGATAATATCAGCATACTGGAAATTCATTAGTTTTCGTGTGGAATTTATTTTCGATGAATTCGTTGGCACTCAAAATATTATATGGGTATGGCAATAGCGGTGGTCGTGAACAGCATTTACTAGTAACCAGTAAAAGCCAAAAGATTTTAGTCCCATGGAAAATACAACGGTAAATGATTTTGCATTATTTGGTGATACAATGAGTAAAGTGTAACGATATTAGAGTTTCTTGCTAAAAGGAACTAATGTTCAGAAAAATAAAGATTTAATTTTCCGGAAAAAAACCTGTACAAGTGGTCAATGTTGGTTTTGATTTTACATATATTAAAATCCCATATTTTTTATTCACTGGGAGCATATGTTAGTAATATTCAACATTGAATTTGGCTTTACAGTCATCTACATTCTTTATTTTCGCTCACCAGCAGCATGTGATAGTTATAGGCTAAGCTTGGCAGAATTACGGAACGAATCTGCAAGACCCTGATGTCATGTTAAACTCGAAGAATACCAAAAGACAGTCTAGGAGAAGTTTGTAAATGGCCCTACAGATACAGTATTCACTGTAATTAATACGCTGCCCGAGCCACTATGCGACTATAACTCTGATTTAGAGACGCTGGTATGAGGTTTAGAACTATGAAAAATGAACAGCTAACGGATACGTTATTGTCAGAAGCTATATCTAGAATTCCTTTGGAGAGAAATTTTTTTTTTCAGAAATAATTTTTCTAAACCCGTGATTTCCAGGGGCTGATCTATTTGTCCGCGTCTGTGTTGAAATCGATTGGGAGGTTGAAGAGTTCGAACTGTATCGTAGATAATCGATGGGTGTTGAAGATAACGGACTATGGTATTAGTAGCTTTGTCGGTTCTAACACTGAACAACGGGAATATGAAGAGGAGCGGTATAAAGGTAAGTAATAGTAAACAGTGATTAACATCATACAACTGTAGGTTGTCAATACTTTTCTTGGATGTTGCGATGAAATCATGGATTGAAAGATATGCAGATGCTGTAGCTGTTATTTTAAAAAATACACACCACTAATTAAAAAGAAATATATCTTGGATGTTTTCAATAACATCAGCAACAAAAAGAGTACTTTGTTTATTTTTTTTTTTAAATTTTGTGTTTTCTCCTAATGTGTTTTGTGCCGTATGCCACCAAGTGATACACCAATGAAACGAAGCAGCATTTACCGTGTATTACTAATATATCATACAAGTGTTTATGGGACATAACAAAAATAAAATAGCAAATCTAAAGACAACAAATGCTTCCTCAGTATATAGAGGACACTTATTGGATTAAAAGATGGAACACGAACTATGATGTCTACTAGAAATAACGTCGCTTGCAAGTTTTTACTTACATTTCCTGTTCAAATGGTCTTGTTGATAATTGTATTTGTCGTTTAAGCTCTGCTGTGGACTGCTCCCGAGTTGCTGAGGGCACCAGTCCAGCCACGGAATGGAACGCAAGCAGGAGACATTTATGCTTTTGGAATTGTCTTACACGAAATATACTTCCGCATGGGAATCTTCCCCATACCGACACTAACAGCAAAGGGTATGTATTTAATCTACGTACTATAGATAATTATCATTATTAATTAAGTCGCACAGACTTTAGAAAACTGATCTGGGTTATGGTTTGTATATTTTGATAATAGATAAAAGATGATACACGGTATCTTTACGTGGATACTTTCAGACAATCACATTATTGTTTTCTTGGTTTTTTTTTTGTTTTGGTTTTTTTCATCTTTGTTTTTCTTTGTTTTTTTTTTTCTTTGGTTTTTTTTGTAATTTCAAATTCAATGAAACATTTATTAATAAGAAGTCATGGAAACCAAATCGTAAAAACAATCCGCATACTTGCCTGCAAACAATTATGAACCATTCTCAGTATCTCGGTATATGGTCATGATTTCATTATAATGTATGTTTCTCTTCTCTTCTGTTATTTCTTAATAATTATTCACGAGGTTTTACAAATGATCATTTTCGGCAAAAAAAAGTGTCCTTCGTGTATGCAAATATTTTAATAGTATTTACAGGAAAATCAGCTTGATAATGTAGTAAAACCACGTGTAATAGCCTCCTGTGTTTATATACACATTATAAAATCAATGTTGCAAATCCATCGACTAAGACAATGACCTGATCTGGGGCAAATTGTGATTACCTAAATGGCCTACACCGTTGAATCTTAGACTGGAAAATATCTAAATTATACGATATAGATATCAGAGGATGACGTTCACTAACCCTAAATACAAAAATATATTGAACGTAATCAGTATACTCGCAGTTTTATCATTTTGTATGATATACCATTAACAGAGGAGACTCTATTAACTTTATGATCGAGGACTTTATGTTCCTGAGATGAGTCTGTTGTTCCAAAGACCCAATAACAATTTTCATTTTGATTAATCACCTTCTATGATATTGTCCGTATTCATCGGCGCTTACGGATGTATGAAACCCGCGTTTACCGGAAGTAGGGCATAATTTAACATAGCATAAAATAAAACGTAATAGCATAAACTTTGGTATTTTGATATACTTTGTTACCAATAACTGTACATTTTATAGTGTCGTCGTGATTTGATTTTTAATGTCAAAAATTTCAACGTTTTTTTTTCTGATTACTACTGTACATCTTTTGAGTATAACTCCTGCTGTTCCATAAAAACAGAATGATCACCACAAATTGTAGATTTGAAATACGTGAACGCTGACTATGTGGATCAATTTCAAGATTTTAGGTCCCAAACATAAATAATTCAGGCTGTTTCTTGATTTTTGAAAAACGAGACATTTGGGTAAAAAATCGGAAAAAATAAAGAAAGCACCCCCTTTGTTAAGCAAACATTTTTTTCAGAATTTACATTTTTCGGTTGCTATGGAGATGAAATATAATTTTGAGAATATCTTTTTCTTGCTATCCCAGCATCCCTATAATACATTTAAATAAGAAGAAAATGATTAAGTGCAGCGACAGTTTTGTTTTAATTACTTTCTGCCATCGAACCTTTAAAAAAAATCATCCCTAGAACTAATGTTAAATATTCAAAATTTCCAACAGCTGAGATTCAAAAATCCGTAAGCGATCGTCAACTTTTGCTTCGCTTTGGCTTGAAAGGAGACGTGTATTTGTGGTGCTACCCCCGATAATGAAGAGCTTCATTTCCGCCACTTCATAACAAAGGCAACAAGAAAATACCGACATGTCAGCATAACAGAGTCACTTTGACTACACTGGATGCTAAATTCAAATAGATACGAAATATGTCTTAAAACAGATCATGTTAGCATTTTGTATTGTATCTGTATTTTTCTTCTATTTTGTCAGATATCATATCGAAAATAAAAAGTGGCGGGCCGCCATTGTGTCGCCCCATAACTGACGTTAAAACTTCAAATGATGAGAAACCCGCACTGATTGATATGATGAAATCCTGCTGGAAGGAAGAACCCACAGAGAGACCATCATACGATACGATAAAATTTATCGTCAAAAGTCAAAATAGTGGGAAGTAAGATAAATATTACAGTTTTGTTGAGAAATCGTAGATGGTTACCTCTTGCCAGTCGGGGTGATAATTCAATTCATTAATGTATTATGTTATGTACACGTATACCAACGCAGCATTGTTTTTTTTTCATATTTGGAACCTACTACTAAAAGTATGAGCATTCATTATATATTAAGATTTCGATCAAGGGTAAATTTCGAATAAAGTTCTGGGTGAGAGTCCGATATTGATTAATATACTGGATAGTACGAGGGTTGTTAGTGGTGTACAGTTATAATTCATTGGGAAATCTGGGAAATCGCTGAAAAAACGTATGTAGGATGGAAAGCATGTTATAAAATAGTACATGTCTCCCTAATGTAAAATCTGTGCACATGAGGAGAACAACTTTTAAATCAGCCTCAGCTGGCATCACTGTCATTGACCCACTTTTGCAGAATGGGTATACCACAACTGTAACTAAAGACAAAGACACGTTATTTCTATATCTATCATACGTACGTATATGTTAAGTATTTACCAAATGTGTTTGCCAAATATTACACTTTGGCATTATAACTTGTCATTCAAGTTCTATATATGGTAAATAATATATTGATGTTTGCGAGTACATAGTGTATATCAAAAGCCATCGAGATTGTGTCATTTAGTCTCTTCTTTATTATTATCATTATCATTTTCGTCTCTCACATCAATATATTTTTCTTTAAGGAAAGCCGGGATACTTGATAACATGGTTGCCAGACTAGAAAAATATGCAAACAACCTTGAGGAGTTAGTTGGACATAGAACCATGGAATTATCTGAAGAGAAACATAAAACAGATCGCCTCCTTTACCGGATGTTGCCACAGTACGTACATACAGTTACGTTACACCTATGATATCAAATGTATAGAGGATCTACCAATAGTATTTCGCGTGTACCTATTTCACCATAAAAACGTCAGTATATACCGACTTCATAACAGAAATGATACTGCATTGAGGATAAAGAAAATCTACTATTACAGATGAAACGCACAGTTAAACATATTTGAATCATATTTCTGCAAACGACGGTATACGTTTTGTGATGTACGAATACCAGAATATACCAACGGTAATATATTTATCAATTTTTACTTAATTCTGCCAACGGGAAACCATCGATTATCCTATGTGTGTGTACAAGTACACGTTATATGGTGAAAACCATTTCGTAAACTCTGACAATTGTAAGGATAGTTCAATGAAGCGATCGCAGTATACTTTAAAGAGAGAGTACACATGCCCATACTGACAGCGCAATATATATGTTTTTTACAGGGCTGTAGCCGAAAAGCTTAAATCGGGACAGGCTGTAGACCCAGAGGAGTTTGAAGCAGTTACGATATTCTTTTCAGACATTGTTGGATTCACAAGCATATCAGCTTCTAGTACTGCTATGCAGGTTGTTAACCTTCTAAATGACCTCTACACTCTTTTTGATGACATCATCGCCCAATTCGATGTTTACAAAGTAAGTTTCCTTTAATCATATATCAATTCCCATGTTTTGTTATATATAGGATAAATTTTCTACTCATAAAAAATCGATATAATCACAAATGGCGTGATTAAATTGTGCTTAGATTTTCTTTAAAATACTGTTGCTTTTCAAACAAGTGTTTCCTTTTCATTTTCATTTTGGCATTACTATTAACAGGTTGAAACCATCGGAGACGCATACATGGTAGTTGGGGGACTTTCCCGCAAGGGAGGCAATAGCCACGCCTCTCAAATAGCAGATATGTCCCTTACCATACTCAGTTCCGTCATGAATTTTCGTCAAAGGCACAGACCCAACGAAAACACGAGAGTGCGCATAGGCCTTCATACAGGGGCTTGTTGTGCTGGTAGGTCATTACTGCATAGGATATCGCTGTGCTTGTAATCCAGTTTGAAATAAAATAAGAGGCTAATGACCGCATAGCTGGAGGCAAGCAACAATACTAATACATTCAGGAGACAAAACACTAGAGGCAAAAACATCACATACAAGAGGCAACAACACGAGGCAACAACACTACATACAAGAGGCAACAACATTATATACAAAATGTAATTCCAAATTGATTGTTCCGTGAGCGACACCTTGTGGAAAAGACGAAAAGACTATTTCGATCCTCTGATGTACATCAAACGAATGCATAACGGTATATTGTAAGAGCTTTAAAGTTGAGTGTTGCTCGTTTGTTATAAGGATTTGTATCAGCCTGCGATTGGTCAGTTTTTTTTCTTCTTGAACCAATCAAATTACTTCACTTGAGCCTTCAAATTTGCCATGACATGTTCCAGGGGTGCAGAGACCGAACGTGGTAGTAACCCCAGAAGTATTGAGGATGTTTCGATATATTCTCAGTTAAAAAATGCATATACTTATACTCCATTATTCCTTCCTTTCCGGACTACTTTCCATTTCAAATGGTCACTATATAGGTCATCAAAAGTCAGAGGTCAAAAACCATTAATATCAACAAATATTTGTATCTTTTGATTTCCACTTCTTATGAAAATGTAGTTATACCAAAGTTTATCAAAAGTCAGAGGTCAAAATACCATCAATGTAAACAAATATTTGTATATTTTGAATTCCACATCTTATGAAAATGTTGTTATACCAAAGGTTAGAGGTCAAATTTTTCATCAATATAAACATCAATATCGTATACTTTTCATTTCAGCAAGTTTTAACAACGTAACATGTATGTTATAGGTCTATTTGTATTGTATAGTATAATCGTCTCATATCGATTACCTGACGCCGAATAATGTTCTGAGGAAACCTCTGCTACTTTTGAATCAATACAGCCCGTAATTCTTCTATTGTTTGGCATTTTGGATACCATGCATTGACTTTTTTGTGGATTTCATGAGAACAGTTGAATCCTCGCCAAGACTTTATACTGTTGACAGTGATGAATGGAGCTCGCCTTAAGAATTTGTAAATTTTTGACGTGACATTTTTAAAAACAACATGAGTACGTATATGATTTACTGGTAACACGCGTGCAAACGCTGCTTTAGGTGGCAAAGCAAACTTGATGTTTTGTTGGAGTATGGAATACCCCAGTTTTATCTGTGTTATCGTTCCATTGATTGTATCGCTTTGTGGTATACGGTATCAAACATAAAAGGAGACACTTCATGCAGAACGACAACTTTTATTTTCACATAAGGAAAAACCAGTCTTGATTAAAATGTTAATACTGAAATTAATGGTCTCTATGCTGTGGCCAAATGTATATTTGCATTCATACGATGTCTATAAGTTTCACAATCTGAAATACGATGTGGACTTAACCAAAATACTGACGCCAGAAAGTTCAAATTGAAGAACAGATGAAATGGTGCTGTTCCTCACGTGATGCTCGTTAGTTTGCCTGATGGTTCTGTTGTAACCTTTGTATACCTTTTCTCAATAGAGAACGTCGCGGATGCCGGCGATAAAACAGAAGACGCTTACTCTTCCGAACACTTGGTCTTATTCTCCTTGTACTTTGTCAAGAGTCACCGTGTAAATCTTTCCTTTGTTCATATTTTGCCGTAGTTTTATAGACTTTGAATTTGAACTATAATTATGTTGTCATGCTGGTATTTTCTTTATGTTTTCTTTATCATAAACGATAATCTTATGAACTATTATGATCACAAATTGAGTTTTTTATTCGACATAAGATTAGTTATATTACAGCATTCTATGTTTGTCTTTATTTGGAATAAATGTCGTTTATGATTATATATATATCTTATTAAGCAGAGATGTGGTTCTTTTTGAGAGTGATGTAAATTCCTGGCTTTTAATCCAAACAAATGAAAAAGGTAAAATCCTGTTATCAATAAGACAAGTGTACGTCTTCGTGATGATTCTATTTGATACAGATGTTGTTCAAGAAAGTTGTTCATGGTCACCTAAGGAACCTTATAGATTCAGCTGTTCTCAGATTGGAACGAGTGACGGGCGATCATTTTGTTTATCTGTCACTCTGATTGTTTTCATATAGACTATATATAACCATCTGGTAACAGTTCATTGCTTAAGCATATTGTTGAAAATTGGATGGGAAGTTTATTTAAATGCTGCTGTTATTGTAGGAGTAGTTGGGTTAACCATGCCACGTTACTGTCTGTTTGGGGACACAGTCAACACTGCCTCCCGCATGGAATCTAATGGAGAAGGTGATCACGTTTGTATTTATTTGATGATTGTTTGATAATGCAGATCTTCCCTTTGTTGCTTCTAATGCCCAGTCTATATGAGTCAGACTATATAGATTTAAAATGCAGGAAAGACGTGCTCGAATTACAGAGATATTTAAAATAGTGAAGAAATGATCTGATATTGTTTGTTACAGAAAATATTGTCCAGTAAGTTGAACACCAATGTCACCTGCGATTGTTTCATGATTTTATTAAACCTAAGAATCATTAAACATTATGCTGTATCATATACAAGTGTTCCGTCCTGCTTGGACTCCTCAATGATACTAGGGGCCTACATTTTGACACCTATGGTTGTATGTTACTGTAAACGTGATTATTTTCGTGGAGTTCTATTTTTAACCATTTTAGAGAAAGAAATAGAATTGTAAAATGGATAACCTTGAATATAAAATATATTTCCAGGGCATTTCCTTCGTTTCAAGATTTTCCGAAAACCGTGAAAATTTGTTCCATCGGGGAAAAAAAGAAAAAAATTCAATTTTCATCGTCCTTCAATTGCTTTTGACTTTTTATTCCGTGGTTTTTTTCGATAAGAATATTACAATGATCAGCATGTTACAATTTTATATACATTTTGATATCAGAACATTTATTTATATCACAGCCAAAAGAATCCACATAAGCAGTGTTACAAAGGAAGCGCTAGATACATTTGGAGTGTACCAGATCATCCTCCGAGGAGAAATTCCCATCAAGGTACATATCTGTGAAGTCTAACACTGCTTAAAACTAGTCAGAAAGAAGTTCGATTTACGCTGCGATGAATGACATCCGGGTAGACACCAGCGCGACGGCATTTGTGTAGGCATAAAAACGGCCACGCCACGCCGTCAACATGGCTGTTCCATTCAATCGATGGTTGATATTTTGTTTTATATTTTAGTTTGAATTGTTTCATAATTGACATATGGTAGTACCATGTGTAGGGAATATGGATAAAACATTAAATTGTCTTCTTGTAGCATGGCCGTTACGAATGACCACATTTTGTAGGTATACAGAACATATTGCGTTACACTGCCAAGTTCTGTACTTCATAATTACCATAAATGTCATGTAACGATGGTACATCGCTTAAATATATCCTTGTATAACATACATGTCAAAACAGAGTTCTGGGATAACAAAAGGTTATTTGTTATAAAGTTATTGAGTTTGGATACGTCATGCTTATTCTTGAAATGTAGCATGTTTTATAATAGCCACCATTTATCACTTATCTTATTAAAGACTATGCTATTTCGTTAGAGTTTGTCTACCATTGAAATGTTGAAATATAGAAAGTATCATCTCTAAGATAGCCACTTTAATAATGCGATTCCTTTAAGTCTTTACGAAGACCAAACAACGGTTTATCATACGTTAAAACACTTAAAATATTAAATTAGATATACATACATTGAACATTTCATTTCATTCTTTGAAAGTGACCTGCCCTCTCGATATGTAAATGTGAGAGTCTAAGAAATACAATGTGTTTTAATATATGTTAAATACTACATTGCTGTCGGTGATAAATTTCCAACATAACTGGAAATGAAAATTATGAGTTAATATGCAATAACATCATGACATATTGGCAACTCTTGTATTTATCTGTTTCAGGGCAAAGGATCTATGACAACATACTGGCTAAAAGGCAAAACTGGATTCGACTTTCCTCTTCCTTCTTCAGAATGACAAAGCCGTAACATTACAGTTAATCACCATCAATTAAAATAGATTGGCTCTTTCCATTAACATTGGGTACATATATCTAGAACTGATTAACAATTTTACGATGAGCCTCTCTATTGTCTACGTCTTTTTGACCTGTCGGTATTTTGTTATTGGGACGGAATGATTTTAATAAGTTTCAAATATGAAAAAGATAAAATCTGAAGATTGGATTTTGTATTGTTCTGATAAAATGCTGATTTCACGAATGTTCCAGTAAGTATTTCAGTGATATAAATAGTTCAATCTTAGATGCGTTAGGCTCGGAAATCCTCTCACTCGGTTCATAAATCCTGTATCAGATTGATTCATAAAAGATTTCCTATACAGAGTATGTTGTAATTTGATCTTCTGAATGTACAATAGCCTATTTATTATGTACCAATGATAGACGCCACACATCTATCCGAAAAAAAAAAATTTATATAACTCGATTTTAATTCCAATCTCATTAAAAGAAATCTTGTTGAGAAAAACTCTACCACTACAGGTGGTCATGATACATGATACGATATTATATGTAATAACAAAGCTTATCACGACGATAATTAGCGAACAATCGAGTCTTAATCCCCGTCTACATCCAACAACGTAAAACGAACAAGAGGTCCATGGGGCCTTAACGGTCATCTGACTATAAGGACCAATATATGAAAGAAGCAGGATAGGCCGAAAATTAATTGCTCAACTACTCTACAGCTTACATTGAAGACATTGTTGGTCCATCAAGATATTTTCTGCAAATTTGAAATCATATACATACACTACACACTTGCCATTACTCCGGACGCATTGCTTGTTGAAAAAAAGTCATTTGTCAATAAGTTGTTTAAGCATTTTAACACATTTGACCCCTGTGACCTTGAAAGTTGGTCCAATATCAGCACCCTGTGCATTTTGATTATTCAGAAGAAGTCATTTAAACATTTATCTTTAAATTGGGTCAATGCCATTCATATCAACAAAGTTGGTAGTCTTACAACTTAGCCTGCAACAGGACAATATCATCCTGGGATTTTTGGTTATTGAGAGGAAGTTGTTAAAGAATTTCAACACATTTGATCACTGTGACCTTTCAAGTGGATCAAGGTCATCCCTATTAACTAGGGGTCGATCAACCTTCTGAATTAAGGAAATGATTCTCCACTCTCCATGATGTTTCAGACTAAATTTGGTTGAAATCCATTCAAGTATCAAGAAAGTATAGCATATTGAACCAAGATATTGCCTAACTTCCCTTTTTGCGCCCCCCCCCCCCTTATTCCTCGATGTCGAATCAAAATTCTGAATTTAAGAAATTATTCCCCACTCACTCTCAATGATGTTTCAGACAATTGGGCTGAAATCAATTCAAGCATTAAAGAGTAGCATTTTGAAGCAAGATATTGCCTAACTTTTCTTTTTGTGGCCCCACCCCTACGTCCCTAAGGGGTCGAATAAATTTTCTGAATTCAAAAAATAATTTCTCACTATCAATTATCTTTCCGACCCAAAATATGGTTTAAATCCATTCAAGCACTAAACAGGAGTACGTTTTGAAACAAACTTTTGTCTTATTTTCCCTTTTGGGGCCCAGCCCACAAGTCCCTACGCATCGAATCAGATTTCTATTTTTTAAGAAATAATCATCTTCCCTAACTGATGAATCAGACCAAAAGCTTTTTGAAATCCAGGAGTAGGGTTTAAAATATAATTTCAGCACTTTCCCCTTTCGGGCTTCGTCCCTCGACCCCGAGGAGTTGAATCGAAATTCTAAATTTCAGAAATGATTGCTCTCACCCAATGATGCATCAGACCAAATCTGGTTGAAACCCATAAAATGTACGAAAGAGGAGTAAGGTTTAAAATCAATTGCGCACAGCGCAACCCTTCGGGTCAGATGACCTAAAAATGCATATCCAGTCTTTTTATTGACTTATTTGTTGTAATATCGTTTTCTACACTCGCAGTATAGTGTGAGAAATAGTTAACAAAGTCATGTTAAACTTTACACACCTTTAACTCCGCTTTAAGGTGATATTGTTTTGTCTTTTATTATTTTTTTATGCCCGTCCGTCGACAACTGAAGTCATTTAGAGACTTATCGAGTCTTAATGCGTTATCAAATACACGTACGATGTATTTGCAAAGTGCGTAACTTTATATATGGAGAACAGTTTCTGTGGTCACGGTACCCGCCTACCATTAAATGTTTGACCACAATGCATGCGTGATTAATTTATATGAACAGATTATAAATTCGTATAATATGTATTTGAATTCAAAGACGAGAAATCTTCGAACATTTTATAACGCAAAACGTTGTGATGATATCATATGATTACTGAATTTCATTTCCATTGTGTATATATATATATATATTAAGGCACTTGTTCCAAAGACCCAAACATGCATTTTGAGGTACAGTCTCGAACGATATTCAATTAGTAACATGGTTACTCTCACGTCAAGTATGTCTCATAAACTTGTTACCTAATCAAGGAATTTTACATGTTGTTAAATGTCAATAAACTTTATCCCTTTTAGCGTCCTTGTTAGTTATTTTCATTAAAGATCTTCAATCTGGGTGATAAGTACATCGTTAAACATTTATGAAGATAACTAATATTTAATAATTTATTTGAAATTAACTCATCAAATATTTAAACTACAGTAATTGTTTATACAAGTTTTATTGACATAATTTTGTGGTTCTCTTGTTACAAGGAAACAACGTATTATAAGAAATGTTACAAATGTCCAGGTCTTGACTGATGACACTAAATATAGTACGAATTGTCAAGACCTACACTTAGGACCGTCAAACTAGAACTTGACCTATGAACTTTGTCTGGATTATTGCAATAAGGAGGTTACATTTTTTTTAAAAATTATTTCGGAAGTTTATTTCATGTAGTACTTATCTGCTGATGGTGTGGTTTCCTTATTTGAATATTGACATACTATTTATCAATATCACAAAAACGTAAACATGTCAGGTGTTTATGGTTAGTCTATAGAATCATTGCATCAAATGAATTACAAAAACAAATCATGTTCTTAAAAGGATGCAGTTTATTACTGGAAGCTACAGTCTTAATCAATGTACCATGAAATACCAACATAAAAGTACAGCACCTTGTATATATTGCACAATCATTATATACAGTCAAACCTCATTATTTCAAAGTATGTGGAACCATGGGAAAATTCGATTAATCCGAGTATTTCAATTAAGAGAGTTTGAGTACTTGATGAAGTGCTTGGTGTGAAGTTTGGCTGGGACTTGCAAAATGCTTCCAATTGAACCAGGTCTTTGAATTATATGAGTTTGAGAAAATGAGGTTTGACTTATCTTATCATTATAAAATTAAAATGCTTAATTGACATGCATGTAACTCCTGTATACATAGTGATACCAGATACAATGGAATTATCAATTGGTAATATACAAGTATTAATTACACATAAGTTTAAAACAAGTATATCAAAAATATATCTGTAACAACAAAATCAACATATATAAAACCAATTAGTTTCAACAAACATATAGAATACCAGCTTTGTTTAGGTAGATATCTATTGGTTCGCACCACACTCGTTTTGGTAGATATCTACTGGTTCACACCACACACGTTTTGGTAGATATCTATTGGTTCACATCCCACACGTTTTGGTGGATATCTATTGGTTTACATCCCACACACGTTTTGGTGGATATCTATTGGTTCACACCACACACGTTTTGGTGGATATTTACTGGTTCACACCACACACGTTTTGGTGGATATCTATTGGTTCACACCACACACGTTTTGGTGGATATCTACTGGTTCACACCACACACGTTTTGGTGGATATCTACTGGTTCACACCACACTCGTTTTGGTAGATATCTACTGGTTCACAACACACTCGTTTTGGTAGATATCTATTGGTTCACATCCCACACGTTTTGGTAGATATCTATTGGTTCACATCCCACACGTTTTGGTGGATATCTACTGGTTCACACCACACTCGTTTTGGTAGATATCTATTGGTTCACACCAAAAAACGTTTTGGTAGATATCTATTGGTTCACACCACACGAGTTTTGGTGGATATCTATTGGTACAAATCTTATACTATCTTTGTGAATATTTATTTGTTTACAGCAAACACAAGTTTTGAGGATATTCAATGGTTAACAAACACTTTTATAGCTTATCAAAACCTATTCAGAATTTGAACATCAATACCAGGAGAAAAGATATAGAAATTATAACAAGTTAATCACTAGAATGTGACACTTCTATAGACCGTTTTGTGATCACTGTATCATTATATGATAAACATTTACGACATATAAACAGTTTTATCTTGACATTTTTAGTATTTCAAAATTTAATCAGTCAGATACAACACCTAAACATGAAAATCTTATAAAACAAAGCATGAAATGAACTAGTATTGACAAAAGACAATTGACCATACCCAAAACTTTTGTATAAATAAATAAAAATCTTACATATCTTGGTTTAAACTCTCATTGAAATGTATCCCTGGAATATATTGTTATATTGATAAGATATGAACATCTTGGATTTAGTATCTTCTTGATTATCTTTAATACTTCAATCTATATTTTGTTTAAATTCAATACTGTAATAAACAGGTTTAAATGCTTCAATGATAAGTTGTTTCCTATGACGTGTCTATAGCCTTCATCATTCCCCATTTAATTATTTATAGTACACAATGTATTTATCCATAAAACACAAATAATTCAGTTTTTAAAATACTTTCTTTTTTCACCAAAATTCAATAAACAAATACGTAAATACAAATAAGTAAACACAAATAAAATAAATCCCTGTCAACATAAAGATTCCAACGGATGACATATATAATTACAAACTGGTAACTTTTCACTTAAACAGTTCCAATTACAACTTGAGAATCAAAGGTTTACACAGCTGATAAGAACCAGCCTTTTGATGTCAAAATTTAACTATTCAGTATATGATTTACATACATGAAACACAGTGGAAATGATTTCAGATTTTACTGGACAGACAGAGAAAACAGACCTATCATTAAAAAACTTATGTATATTATTACTATCCTATACTAGTACCAGGGTAGTTTTTCAATATCTACATTGCCACCACAAAGAATAACTCCAATGTTTTTCATCTCCTTGTCCATGGCTGCAAGCTTGTCTGACATGGCAGCAGCTACAGCAGCACCAGATGCAGCTTCAATCACCAACTGGAGAAAGTATATACACAAATAGTATCAAGGGGAAAGTGGATATAGACAATATTATTGTATATCTACGGTACAGCATCAAATATGAAAAATTTGTACTTGACCTATAAGAGGTCGAATGTTGTTAAAAAAAATTGTACTTGACCTAAAAGGTCAAATGTAGTTCATAAGGCTAAATCTAATCAAGCCCAGATGTTATATCACAATAATGCCATGTAAATCAGATGTAGAGAAACAGGTTCCACATTAGAATGAATTATTTACAATGTTAAACTAACTTGACATCAACATTTGTCATTGATTCACCAACAGTATGTACAGACATCATCAAGCAGCAGGTGTGTTCATATCAACATGATACAGGCAAAAGAGGTACATCTAAACTAAACAATGTATGATTTTAGTCAAAGATGAATTAATCTTCAGTTGTTAAAAAAATGCACAACAGTACAGCAAAAACATTAGTGAATATATCCGATGTAATACTATTTCAGTGTATTCCTGTGAGTGTATAGGATCTACAAATTGTAAATTTGATACAATGTAATACAAGTAAATTTCAGTGTATTCCTGTGAGTGTATAGGATCTACAGAATGTAAACAGATACAATGTAATACAAGTAAATTTCAGTGTATTCCTGTGAGTGTATAGGATCTACAGAATGTAAACAGATACAATGTAACACAAGAAAAGAGTCTGTTTTAGTGAGTGTATAGGATCTACAGAATGTAAACAGATACAATGTAATACAAGTAAATTTTAGTGTATTCCTGTGAGTGTATAGGATCTACAGAATGTAAACAGATACAATGTAACACAAGTAAATTTCAGTGTATTCCTGTGAGTGTATAGGATCTACAGAATGTAAGCAGATACAATGTAATACAGGTAAATTTCAGTGTATTCCTGTGAGTGTATAGGATCTACAGAATGTAAGCAGATACAATGTAATACAGGTAAATTTCAGTGTATTCCTGTGAGTGTATAGGATCTACAGAATGTAAACAGATACAATGTAATACAAGAAAAGAGTCTGTTTTAGTGAGTGTATAGGATCTACAGAATGTGAACAGATACAATGTAACACAAGTAAACAGTCTGTTTTAGTGAGTGTATAGGATCTACAGAATGTAAACAGATACAATGTAACACAAGTAAACAGTCTGTTTTAGTGAGTGTATAGGATTACAGAATGTAAACAGATACAATGTAACACAAGTTAGTCAATGATCTCTTACCTTCATTCTTTGAAATGTGAACTTCATCCCTTTAATCATGTCCTCATCACTCTGAAACATTAATTCTTCATCAGGATTGATTGCTATTATAATGAACACACTTATATGTAATAACACTCTGAGTAGACTCTGGGCTATTCCAGTAAACAAACCTGCTTCACCCTGAGTCTGAAGGGATTAGCTATATATAGACCATTTCATTAAATTACAAAAATTTAAATCACTAATAATAGTCACTACCAATTGGACCCTTGGGTCCCAAAATAAATACATACAGTTGATGTTAAGTATGTCAAAAATAAAAAATCCTGCTACATTAATAGCATATTTGATAATTGGCTATATTTACACAATTGTAAAAATGTAGTTACATATTTAACCTCTGACCTCTTGTGGGCAACCTCTGACCTTTACAGTATACAATATAATATTTAGTTTAACGACAGATATAGTGAATTGTAATTTATTTGTAAATGCATACAAAATTTTGCCATATTTAAAATAAAAGGACATTTAACTTAAACAGAAGAATAATCATTTGTATATGTAGTGTACATACTGTGTACATAGATTCAGAAAGAATATGACATTAAACCAGGTTTTGTTTTGTTTTTATATCCACTTACAGCAGTGAAGACATCTTTTTCAGCATGCTTAAGCAATATAGGCCAGGTCACATGACCAAGCTGCTGTGTTCGTATGGCATCAGCGATGGTATCAACAAACTGGGGAGGATTTGGCCACAATCTCTCACCTAATCAAAGTATACACATTACAAACATGTAAATCTTCAGTGGGTAACTTACGAGTGAAAACACATCTTTTTCTGCAAGTTCTAAGAGTATCGGCCACGTTAAGTGACCTAGATGTTGCATCCTGATCCCGTCGGCGATTGTGTTAAGAAATCGGGGTGGGTTAGGCCAAAGTCTCTCACCTATATACATACAAACATATACTGGCAAGTGTTAGTGTTATCCAACCAAACCACCAAAGAAAAAAGCTGTAGATAAGGCAGGCAGTTATCAGTGTTACAAATAAACAGCATATAAATGTATATAATAATGAAATACATCATTATATCATATATATGTATGAATCAATTATATTAATTATGTTATAAATGAAGATGTATTGTATGTGTATGACATAATTACATAATTTTGTGTAAATTTGTGGGTTCCCCAACCCCTGTGTGATACTGGCCCACAAATTTATCCTTCTAGTGCATACCTTACACATTATTGTACTACACAAGTTTATTAATACTTATTTATCATTATGCTATATATATATATATATATATATCCTAATTCATATGACATACACTTGACATGTGGAATTAAAACTATAACTTACTATGTATATGTAAACTCTTCCATATATACTCTATGATAATTTATCAATTTGATGTTTCATGTCCATGTGCACCTATATATACATGTACTATTTATAATGTATTTATACTATCAAATGTTTTCTATCCATGTTCTATACTCTCTGTACTCTTCATTTTGGAGGCAATAAAGAGAATACATATAATTGTATATAATAATGAAATACATCATTAGGTAACCCAAGCTTATTATCATTATTCAGAGATGTTGGAAAACCAGTAATAGACGATTACTTATATTTAAAATTTTACAGAAAGCAACATGTTACTGGGATGAGAGTTCTCACTAAGATTCATTAATATTACTTTCTTTAATATATGTTCACTTATAAAATATTAATCAGGTGAAGGATTTAGTATGTGTAAATAAAGAGTACATATACAGGGTTTTCCATAATTTTGTTAGTAGTAGGCTGTGTAGTGAAAGTAGGAGGCTGGCCTGCCGTGTACGTGTAGTCGTGTTCGGAACATTATTGCGGAACTGGATTGGTGTAGGGGGCCAAATAATCAAAGTAGCCGGCCAAATTGGCCGACGACTGGCTCTTATGGAAAACCCTGCATATAGATAATAGTTGGGAATACTTGATGTCTGTGTATAGAAAGCAGGCTATAGATAATAATTACAGGCTTACATTATGTTATTCAGAGGATCATTCAAAACATCAATCATGTGAAATTTATTACAATTACCTAGGAATCAACAAGTTGAGCTGTTATAATTAGACTTTCAGGCTATTTATTTACTTAATTATACAATAATAACAACACTGTGTAATTTTACCTGCTCTCAGGGACTTCTCACACATCTTGCCCTCAGCCTCCACAAGAAATACTGCAAAAGGAAAGAAAACAAATCACAATATAAACAGGACATTACAGACATCATTAATAGACTTGTAACAGGGAATGATAGAAGATATTAAATGGGTAAATGGAACACGTACTGGTATCAAAGGTTCTTACGCTTGCTTAAATAAGTGATCAAATATTAATACAAGGCTACATGTATATTTAGTGACAGGAAAGGACTTTGATGCCTTGTTTATAATGGCTCTGCATAAAAGTGAGACGAAGTCTATATAGCCTGAAGGGCATATAAAGTGACAGTAACTCACTATTGATGCCAGGTTAGATGTGTATATAAGTGACAGTAACTCACTTTTGATGCCAGCTTAGATGTCTATATAATTGACAGTAACTCACTTTTGATGCCAGCTTAGATGTCTATATAAAGTGACAGTAACTCACTTTTGATGCTTGGTTCAATGGCTATATAGAGATTGTAACTCACTCTTGATGCCAGCTTAGATGTCTATATAATTGACAGCAACTCACTTTTGATGCCTGGTTTGATGGCTTTTTGAAGTGACATTAACTCACTTTTGATGCCTTATTTTTACAGACTATTTAGAATAACAGAAACTCATCTTAGATTTCTGATTTCAAGGTTATATTGGTGACAGTTACTCACTTTTGATGCCCGGTTTGATGGCCTTTGCTGCAATGGCTATACCAGATGACAAGCCACCTCCACTGACAGGAACTAGAATGGCATCAAGGTCTGGTGCTTGTTTCAGCAACTCCATAGCTATAGTTCCCTGTTAATTATTACAAGACATCTCAATAATACCTATGATATTCTAATTTTATTTAAGTCTGTGCTACAGGTTTATGGACAACAATATAAAATTTCATAAAAAATGTGAAACGTTAATATGAGACAGATGGTGCATAATGGTCAGCACAAATGAAATGAATAAATATGGCTAAGGAGCTTTACATGCACTAACAGATGTTTAAATTACATTGAAGCATCACATGTGTTTGTCTGGAAACTTATTGGATAATGTGTATGAATACATAAATCTGACAACTATGAGTTTAAAGTTTTTAGATATGTAACACTTTTTTCCTGCATGAAATTAAACACCTCAAGTAGCTGCTAGTACACAAAGTAACTTCAGCTCACCTGACCCGCAATTACATCATGGTGATCAAACGGGGGTATAAACTCCAATCCTTGTTCCTTAGCAACTCTGTCACATGTCTCTTGTCTAAAATACAAAAATATCACAATGAACTATTAAGAAAACTTTGGAATACATATGATTACTTATTTTAATTTTTCAAAATTCTTAGCAGGCATCACTATATTTACTTATGAAATTCCAGGTATCCAAAATTCTGTACTGTTCAATAGTATGCTAGGCCTACAAACTAACCTGGACTGAGGGGTAGGTTCACATAACACTAACTCTGCTCCGTAGTTTGTGATGGCGTCCTTCTTAACCTGCGGAGTGTCCCGTGGTACAACAACTGCACATTTAAGGCCTACAGTGCTTGCTGCCCATGCCAACGCCTGGCCATGGTTACCTGTACTGTGGGTTACCTGTACAAGCAACAGATGGATTTTCGAAAACTTGTGCATGGTAGTGTTAAAACTGGCACAGGGATGATGATGACAGTGACCTTAATGGTAAAGCCACCTTCTACATATCTACATATCTATTATTTATACTAGTAGCTACACCTATAAGCTATTGGTTGGTAATTGTTTCCTTATTCGAATATGATTTCATCTCCTCTCTTATTGGGCACAACACATTAAAATGCACACCACAATAAAACAGAGTTTTTCCTACAAAAAGCTACTATAGATTCAGTTGCATAATTCTAAAACTTCCGATAACGTTTTACAAGATACAGAATTCAAATTTAACCTCTATATTTTTTTTCTTATTTCATCAATAAAATAAATACCCAATAAAATCATCTATACAAAACTATGAAGCAGTGTAGTACATTACACAAACCAGAACATAAGCACATGCAGCCAGCAATATGCTATAGTAATTCCATGTATTGTACAATATGTATCACAAAAATATGTAAATAAGAAGAACAGACAAATCAAAAAGGAAATTGGGAAATACTGCTATACGTCATTCTGACAAAGTAAAGCATGGGTAAAAGGAAATCTGACAGGAGATCTCCTTATGAGAAAAAGTATCAAATACATTGTAAAATCAAATGGTTCAATATATTTACAATTTTCAGAAGTACAAAATACTAACAGGTCATGATGTAATAATCATAACACAAATTTATAAAATATAACCATGGTGACTAGTGGCCAACAAACTAGATTTAAATATTTGTCTTCAAAGCTATTTGCCCTGACAAAAAATTGAGACAAAGCAAAATAGTCAGAATACTTTTTCAAACTTAAGTTTGGTTTGATTAAAGACTGCTATCCTCTCCACAAAGAGGTTTGAATCCTTTAATCTTGTTTTTTTGTTATACTACGTGTCTAAAAAAACATTAGTATGTCTAAATCTAGTCAATTTTCTTCAATCATATTATTTTAAATTCCACTTACCACACCAGCAACTGTAGGATTTCTCTCCTTAAGTGCCATTACCTATTTAAAAACAGATCAAATATAATCTTTTACAAAGTGTGTGATCATGAATATTTGAATATTTATATTAACACATTGTCTATGATGTCTAGATATTTTAAATAAAATTATTGGTACACAAATGATAAAATATATTGTCTTGTATAATGTATTGTAACTTTCATAACTTAGATATTTATATGTACCAAAGAAATATGGACACAGATGAACATTATAACATGTTAGCTAATTCTAATTTCTGTTTTTTAAGTCCATAATTACACTACATACATATGTCTCTAAATGTACACCTTGTCTCATTTGACCCTTTTTTCAAAAACATTTGAAGTGTGTCCTTTTTTGACAAATGTATACATTACCAATGTGTGTATAATAAAATAAAATTTCAGACAAGGACTTGTCTACAATAATAAAATAAAATGAAAACTAAATAAGATAGATAGGACAACCTTTAAGGAGTGAAATGGGCATTTATATTATTTGGCCTCATATGTACATGCACTGGTAGCTGCAATGTAACACAAAGTGAAGGATTCTTAAAAGAGTGCAAGAATTAGCCAAGGATAAGATCACTACGGCTACAGTACAACAAAACAGCTGAGAATTTAGCCTCCTAGTTTGTGCATGTGCATTGCATAACATGGACAAATAAGTAATATAATGATGTGAGAAAAAAATGTAAGTAAAACTGGAAATTTTAACACAGTGTGTTAAATTACCAAGAACTTATCATAGGACTAAATATTAGATAAAATCTATACCAGTTAAAAATAAAAGTAAAAAAAATCAACACAGGTTGAAGTCAATCCAATGCAAAAGTTTGGTACAAGAAACAGTTGAAAAAGATAATGAGATTTCATTGACAAAAAGCTAAAATTCAGTTAACAAAATTCAAAGAGTGCAGCAAAAGCAAAAAGAGACATGCCAATGCTTCATAATCAAGACTTTTCATGATCTGTGCAAAATCATTAACTTGGTTTTAAACTATTGATTCAAAATCTCTTAAAAGTGTGAAACTAGTCATAATGAACCAGTTCAAATGTGTATTCCCATGTACACTTGTATCCATTGTAATTTATTTTGCCACTTTAATCGATACCATGCCACTGTAATGTTAATCTAATTACCTTTTTGATTCAAATGCACCAATGCAATATAAAAAACAAATTAAAAAATCTAAATTACTAAAGGTATCAACATGAAATATTATATAAATAGGCCAAAGTTACTTCTAACTACAAATGTAACCAAAAAACATCAAGGTCTGAAGACTTCCGGTGAATATAACTTACAATAACATCTGATAACACAAGTACTTTTTACTACATGCAGGCATGCACATCAAATCTAATATTAAAAGTTTGCAACTAGAACCCTATACTAGAATACAAGAAGAGCAGGTCAATTTCAGACAAGGACTTGTCTACAATGACAATCTCATGTTAACGACACATATACGATGGATGCAGTAATATATATAATTTGATTATAAGCTTGTACAATTGCGCTTTATTTACACATGTACATGTGTAATGCCATAAACATCAGTGTACTGTGAACACCATAAAATATAATGTGCGAGTGCATTTGTATATTGATTTCTTTACTTACGACGATTTCAAGTAATTAATGAAAACATTGAGTATATATTTGTGTCACTAAATGCAGAAAAGTCCTTGTCAACCTGAAGGGAAAGCAACATTTACTGGGCTAACTGGCCGTGCACTACTGTGAGTGTGCTGTAGATTACTGACAGCATTCAAAGCTCCTCGCGCTTTAAACGATCCTGTCTTCTGAAGATTCTCTGCTTTGAAAAATGCATTTCTGCCGATTAATTTATCAAATGTAGAATTTGTAAAGACGGGTGTTTTGTGTATATATGGAAGTATTCGCTCGTGAGCTCTGTAAATGTCAGCAAGTGTCACTCGTGCAGCTGCAGCCATCGTGGATGTTTATCTAATAGAGTAACCTCCCCTTAGATAACATACATTCGGGAGTTTTTAGACTTTACCAGACGAATAATAATAAAGCAGGAGAATTCCGCACGTTAGCATTCTTGTAAACAATATGGCTGCTGAGTGTTCCCAACCTCTTCGTCAAATTATTTAACTGTTAATGAAGAGTGTTTTTCAACTGAAGTAGACAGGTATTATCCGAGAACTTATTATGCATGGTAATCTCACTCCTCTAGGTATATATAGTAATGTTTTATCGTCAGTAAGAGGATATGGTAGTCTGGTAAATGTACATGTAGCATAGGTACTACGTACATACTGTACTAGTGACTATGGCGCTGTCCCGCCTGTCAGTTCACTGATTCTACATAAATGAGTAGAGTCTACGTGAACGTATTGAAAGGCGCGGCTTACACTTGTGCTGATATTAATATAATTAGTTATAATACACACATCAATATTCAACCATCAGAAATTCATGAAATGTACTATATAAAATGCTGAAATATCGATTACAACAAACTACAAATGTATATCTAGAACCATGGCTGAGTTGCTGGGAAATGCGGCTATTCTTGAGAGTCTGAAACAAGATGTATCTGATCTGCAGTGGGCCATTGGTGAAATTGTTTCAAGGATTGGGCCTGTGCAGCATCCATCATGGAAATTTCCCGACAAACTATCATGTGACCTAGACATAGAGGATCTTCTTGATCTGTACAGTTATTCTGATGATACAGAAGAATGTCAGGTGGCCCACATTGCACTGTATGAACTGGTTATTGACAGGTAAGTAAACATGGTTCTCAATTCAGTTTTTAAAAGTTGACATTATTGCAAACTTTCAACTAATCACATTAATTGTACATGTACTGATATTTTACAAACAAATCATTCTGCAAGTACATGCATATAATGTGTTTTTGTACTGTTTGATAGAATTTAATATATCAATAAAAATGGTAAATCATGATTTATGATTGGAAAACATTTTTAGCCTCTTTAAATTTCCCAAACAGGCAGATAGGGATAGAATCAGTTTGAATTACATCGATCCAGAGTCAATTTCAGACTGGTATAAAACAAAAAGCTGATGGAACATGAGGATAATTCATACTAGGATAGAATGATATAGTTAAAGTATGTTCATGTAGTAGGTCAGATTTTGTAATACATTGTTTTCTGATCATGATGCAAAGACTTCCTAAGGACAGGTATTACATCAAATCAACTTACCAGTTTACTAGTTAACTTTTCACTATAACAAAAAGGCAGTTTACTGGTGGTATATAATGCAGAACACATTTGTTGGATTTGAATCATTGTACATGTTTCTTATGCTTGGTTTCAGATTTGTGTATTTGATGCAGACTCTGTCAGCCTACAATAAGCAGACCATGTCTCGAGGTGGCATAGATCTGACAGACACCAGTAGTACATCTGTTGGCCTGGTCGTCAAGCAGTACTGTAATCGACAGATACAGCTTCAGACCATGCTCCAACAAACCATGTCAGACGTAAGGCTTCCACATATAAACAAATCAGCAAAAATGTCTTGATTTAATGAGATATTATCTTAAATAGTTATTCCTTAATGTACAAACGTTCCTGATCCCTTTATAAACTGCAATAAGAATTTTGTTTGAAGTACAAATAACTCTGTATAAGTAGATCACTTTGAAGATGTAATAGAATGCCTTAGATGTGGATGAAAATGTAAATAGCTTTTAGAGTGATCGTACAAATCCTGTATAAATGCAGAACAAGTGTTTTCATACCAATAACATTTTGATCGTATGACCTCTAAGCACTTAATGCATGCATATAATAAAACTGAGTTGGCAATGCTCAACTTAAGTTGATCATGATTGGGTTAACTGAAGCATTAATCTGATCAGCTCTTTATCAGGTGAAGTAGGACTTTTTATTATCTGAGATTTGCTTACTAGAAACTGGCTTCATTTCACAATCTATATTAATATATGATTTGCATTTGTGTCAGAATATTTATGTTGTATTTTTGCTTCAGATCAAAACAAAAAACAGAAAACTAGAAGAGATAGAAAATAACATGAAGAAGATGTCTGACCCACTAGAGGATGGTTCTCGCACAGGTTCAAACATGTCCCTGAACAGTGTGGGTCAGTTGTCCAACAAATCTGTGACAGCCATGAGTGCCATCTACACTGCTAGACAGTTTGAGGAGATTGCAAGGGACGCCAACAGTAAATCTTGTCAGACAAAAGAGACAGCTTTTGTTCCTTGTGAAGCATGTCATATTGCTCAGAAAAGTTTTAAGACAACTGGTGACTTAATTGTCAATATGTGTAAAAATCAGAAACTACCGTCCAGTCTACAGCAATATCGTCCATTAGTGGCTGAATTAAAATGGTTATCATCCAATGATATGGCCAGATGGGCAGGAGAACAAAATAAAGACCTGAACAGAATCAACAAAAACCAGGACAACATTCTGGAAGTTATAGCAAACCTCAAAGATGAGGTGGAAACATATGAAAAAAAGTGTAAGAAGTTGGAAAAGCGAGTGTCAAACTTTGATAGTGAAATGAGGACAGAACGTGAAGTGCAGTCAGCTCTAAGGAAACAGTTTGACCTCAAGGTCAAGGACATGCAACATGACCACCAGGAAACTGTTGCTGTGATAACCATGCAAAAGAATGAGCTAGCATCAACAAAGACAGATCTAGAAAAACAGCTGCAGGCTTACAAAGCAGACTTGGAAAGACAACAATCCCTACTAACAACTCTAGGCATGTACAGCAATGCATTAATTTCATTAATTTTTCTTAAATTGTGCATTTTAATTTTGATTACCTCAGCCTTTTAAAATCTTGAAACACCACTTTTGGTAAATTCTCAGGTAGGTAAAACATTATGATAAATGTTTCCAGATTAACACAAAACTATGTATTGTTATCCAAGTACAAAATAAAAAATTCTTTGTCACATGGATGTAAATAAAAGTCAATCTTTTTATTGATAAATCTGGTAAAACACTTACAAATGTACCATACTGTTGGAGTTGCATTAAGATAAATTCCAATATCTTTAATTTCATGCCACCATTTGATAAAACAGAGGACACAAGAGATCGTTTAATGAAAGATTTGGAGGAAAACAAAGCCAATGCTGAAGACATCCAGAAACTTCAAAGTGAACTTATAAAGATCCAAAGTCAGTTTGAGAAGTCCTCGAAGGAGCTCTCTCGTGAACTGGCGAAGAATAAGAGCTCTTCAAAACATGGGAAGGTAAGAATTTACATTGACATTAAAAGGTTTAGAACTCTTTGATTATTATATGTATTGTATTTTTTATCTGTCTCGCTCATCATCTTTACTCTCCTTTGTGTGAGGTAGGTAATATTTACGAATGGCTATACAAGTTACTTGCTTTAGATACGGGTATACAAATATATGTATGCATATATAGATAACAGGTACATCTTGACAGTTATTTCAAGTCTACAATATATTGTTGTTAGGAGGAGGGAGGGGAGAATGGGATGGTGTTGGTGAAGGTTATTAAATGTCTTTTCTCTTTATGGATAATTTTGTATATGAGGTTAATTGAAAAGAGATTACTTAGTATATCTACTGTTGATAGAAAGATCAGATTAAAGTATTATTGTAGATTCTTATCAATATTTGAAAAGTCCTTTACACAATCCAGACACTAATATGTCATGTATGTAACAAGTACACTGAGTTTCTTCAGTTCTATATATATGACTAGCACATGTATATATCCATTTGTAGTCATCTGTTAGTCTGAACTTTGTCTTGATACAGAGTCTACAGACAAAACAAGACATGTTGCTGCAGAGACTGGATACACTGGACCAAGAGAATGAAGAACTGAAGGACCAGGTGGGATTGGCTGAGGAGGAGCGAGAGGCAGCCCAGGAATCCCTAGAGAAGGCGCTGGAGCAGGTCACCAAGTTACAGACCAAGATCAAGGGTGATGAGGTAAGAACAGTCGACCCTGTAAACAGGATAATTTGCTTTAAAATTTCGTGGGAAAATGTCACTTAATGTAAAAGATGAAGAGAATAAAAAATAATACTTGGATGAAAATAACATAATAGACTAATTAGGTTTTATAGATGTTGTTTTGTTTACGAGGAAGTATAGAAATATTTTGTTTGAGAAGAAGTCCAACAACTAGCAATAACATGTAATTTTGGTTAAAGAGATACTGTAGAAGAGAATGCACTTACAGGGGATGATGTCCTACTAATTATATTAAGGAAGAGATGCAGAGAATTTTTATTGGAGGAGAGGCAGGTACACTGGGGTGGATGCTCTGTAGAACATCAAAGGCACAGTCATGATTAAAGATGGAATTTTGCTTTGATTTGTAAAACAGGAATTGATAGAACATTTGAGTGCAGAAAAGGAACAGCTACAGGAATCCATCAGTCAGTTGGAAACCAGCATAAAGACTTTAGAACATCAACTGGAGGACGCAAAGGAGCGAGAGAGACTGATGATAGAGTACCCGGATCTTAACGGACCAGTCAACCGTGACCTCCAAGGTAAAACCAGTGTCATTTTAATTTCTAGTCAAGTTAGCTAAATGTCTGTAGTAATCTGTAGTAAGTAAAAATGTTATCCTTCTTTTCTTGGTCTTTTCCCAACACCTTACTGTTGCCGTCTCATCCTCATCTCCCCACCATCTTTCTTGGCAGTTTTATATTTGCCCCTTTTACGTCTTTGTTTATCCCTTTACCTTTAGTCCAAATTGCTGTGTTCTTAATTTCAAATGCCTCTTCTCTTTCCTCACCTTTTCCAGTAATGTAATCAATTGTCTTATCTTATACAGGTACAAAAATTTCTCTCTCTCTCATTTCCCTCCCTCTCCTGACATCCCTATTTCCTTCTGTCCTTTCTTTTCCATACCCTCACAAAATCTCTTACCAGTTTTTCTCAATGTTTCAGCATCAATATTTGCTCTCACTGTAACTATGTACAGGGAGGCACAATGTTGCCTCAATGTTCTGATTGGGAAAGGATTTCATTTCCTTGACAATTTGATGTTTGATGTATTCAATATACTTTAACTAGTACATTTGGTATGACTGTAAAATGTATTGTTTTTAATCTTGTTTTTACTTGAGAACGGCTAAACTAAAGCTAAAAATGCTTACCCTTTCAGAAAACCTGGTATTATTCTCCTACTTCTGCAGTAATCTCTCTGTAAATGTTTTTTTTTTTTTGTTGTGGTTGATATTTTATCTTCCTGTCATTTGCTTTTTAGTTTCAATTGAAATTCTATGAACATGTTGTCTCTATAAGTACAGTATTATAGTCTTTGTCATTTTATCCTCGTCAGTAGTATTCCTTGATTATATTCTTCCTTTGCCCTTTAGGTACTGGTGATATTGTGGTTGATATGGAGAACCAAGTGAAGGCCAACTCTCAAAGGATCACAATTCTTGAGGAACAAAATGAGGGTCTGAGGAATTCCATTACCAAGATTTTGTCTATCCAGCGAGGTCCTGGTGGGTCACCTCCAAAACAAGCATGGGTTGAAACGGTACTGATGCCATCAATCATTTCTCTTTGTTTCTTTGGTTAAGTTTAAATGGCACTCAACAATTTTCCATTGATATTTGATAATATAAAAATATATAATACACAGTACATATGTCTTTGTGTAATTGATTCTTAGCCTATATATATAATTTATTGTGCGTTAGGATAGCTTGCCAACGGTTGACTTTACTGATCATATTGGTTTTAACTTTTTCTTTGAAAGTACTGGATACACCTCTTTTATATGTTCCGTTTGTCTTAATACAAAATGTGTTGTAACTTATATTTTGTAAATAAGTATGAGGAAGCAATACAGCTGCAAAATGGAGATTATCATTAATTTTGATCTTTCTCATTGAGTGGTATTTTTTGTTTGTTTTTAGATATGTAAACAGGATCCCTATTTTCATTTTGATATTTATAAATTGTAATTAAATGAAATGTTACTGCTTTCAGAAGCAGATTATGTTGAAACTAAATTTAATGTAGCATCGGTGTTACTTCTCTTTATCTATTTATTTATTTTTCTAGACTCTGAAGCCAGTAACACTCTGGAACCAGCAACAGTTGGACAAAGCTCAAAGTGAGGCTAACAATGTGTGGATGCCAGAGAGGTAGGATATGATGCTAGTATTGTGAAGATTCCTGTAAATGAATGCAGATGTCAATTTTTACACATACACCATCATTACTGAAGTTGAGAATTTGTGTAAATATCCATGCTTTCGTAAATAGAGGGTTGGCAAGACTCTCCGACTGCATGCTTAAATAAATCTTACAGTGGATTTAAGACCATGGCACCAATAAATGTGGATGTATATTATGAGAGATAAGTTCTGAAAAAAACACTTCACTTTCTGTTATTTAGTTCCACTGCAAAAGAACACACCACATCTCCTATGCGGGAACAGAATGGTGGACACCCAGAAATGAAAACACAGTTTAATCAGCAGCACAGTACTGTTAGAAAAGAGCACAGCAAAGCCAAATCCCCTCCGTTGGAGAGTAAGACAAAAACACCTATGGAGGAGTTTGTCGTGGGACGGAGCAGCAGACCTTCAAGTGCCAGTCGGAGAGGGGAAACTCCCAGTACTGGAAGTCGTAGTCGACCTTCCAGTGGGAAAGTGATGGCTCCTGTCAACTCAAGCAGCATAAGTGCCTACATACAGATAAGGAAGGCTGCAAAACTTGGAGTCAGTGATCTTAACACCATGACACATTCCAAAGGTTTGTAAGAAAAAAAAAAAAACAATAATTCATTTGAAAGATGTTTTGTATGTATAGTTTTCAGTCAATGATATTTTATATTGTAATTTTATAATCAGGACACTCTTTGATTTTGTGGTTTGACATTTCTTGCAGCTACATGTACAATCAAAAGAAAAGTTGAATTAGTCACCAAAAATATTATTTCAGGAATTGCCGTACATGTAGATGGTTATCTGGCCATCTTATATGTAATATTAATGATGAAAACTGTATTTTTTTATTATAGGCGTGAGTGTAAGGCCACCTTCTGGTAAAATATCCAAAGCAACAAGGGAGATAACTACAGCAGGCAGTGATACAGACTATACCAAGAAGGACATGTTTTCGTGTGAAAAGTGTGATAAGATGTATTCTAGAATGCGGGACTTAGAAATCCACAAATCTTATTGTACAGGGTAATCCTGCAATAATCACACATTCCTCCATAACAAGACATGTAGGTGACTATGGGGAGATATATGCAGTCCTACATTAATCCTACATCCTTCCAAATAGAACAAGGATAATGTAAATGGCATGGCTGTGCAGAGATTCATATAGTTCTACACCAATCACACATTCCTCTGTAGCAGGACATATGTGCCTGTACAGAAATTGATTAACACTTACAAAAAGTCAGTTAGTTAGAGTTCATACAAGAGTTTCATTTTGATGAAGAAATCGAAAACTTTCATGATGACAGAGAACATTTTTTTATTTCTACTAGATGATATAAGGTGTTCTGTAATTGATGATATTTACGTTGTGATTGTTTCTGGTGAAGTATGTTTGTTATCTTTTTATTATAGTGAAAATTATTCTAATGTTCTGCTGACTTTTTTTATATCGGTCTAGACTTGATGAACTCAAGACCAATATCGAAAAAGTTGATAAAATGTCAGAATAATTTGGACTACAAATGTAACTCAGAGTTTTGATGAAGAGTGTACTTGTAGATAACATCTATCTTCTACACTGTATATATGATTCCCTGTTTAGAAGGGATATATTTTTGGCAATGCTGACGGTCTACATCGAGGTTATTTTATAAAGTTATCACAACAGTTTACAGTCTTTTCCTTATTGCACAACACTTTGAATATATAGTTTTTATGTATGCATAACACTGTTATAAGAAATAACCAACACTAGTGTGATATCCTGTTCCTCACATCCATCCAACAGTATAGTTTTCGAAAGCCAGATATCAGCAGGCAAAATGTGCTCATTGAAGTTCACTGAAATAAGGCACATAATGAATACATACCTGGTATATTGTGATAATCAAATACATTGTGATATGTTACATGTTCTATTTCACCAATTCCTTTTTGTATCACAATGAAGATAACGCTTCATATTAGCCTCATGCAGGAACATCAAACATTTGTGTCTTAATGTTATACTGAATCCTTCCGTAATTTTTTTATTGTAGTTAAATGTGCAGTTTGTGTTGTAATCAGTTTTGTTTTATGCCACTAAAACTTCTGTATCAAACTCTGATATAGAATTTCAGTGTAGAAAACATACTTCTGACCACAGACATATAAAAGAGTCCATCCCTCTTTAGATTTTCAAATGTTTTTGAACTTTTTTAATTGAATTTCAAGAATGCATGTTTAAGGTTTTTGTAATTCGTTAAATACAGATAAAATTATAACATGTTATCAATGATCACTTGTTCCTACATTTGTGTTTATTGGTTTTGACTATCCTGATGTATCAATTCATACTGGTGATTCAAAATGTGTGTGACATCCACACTCGATATTCAGGCGTAATTATTGAGCTTGCATGTAATTAAAGGGATTTATGGTTATGCAATCAAATCCACTTACAATGATTTTTTATTTTCCAAATAGAAATGTTATAATAACCGATATATTATAATATTCGAGAGGGCCATTCATTACCATGTTATATATACAATATATGTCCATAGATAGGATTATTTTTCATATTTCTGACAGTGTTTATGATACTCCTATCATGTTGTAGGGTATAAAGACGCTGGTAAATTTATTTGTCTAGAAACGTTTCCCTTTGGAAAATTGTCCTGGTTTTAAGTACAGACTCCAGATCTAACTAGCTCAAAAGGGTAGCTATTTTTGAGGGAGGCATTTCTTTTTTGATGGATGGAATCAAACAAGAAAAAATAGATACATGAAAAAGAAATATCTAAAAGAGAAAACCATTATAGTATATTTGAAAAAAAACATCACATTTGCTTCAAGTTTCAGCAGTTATTGAAAATATGAACTATAGAATTTTTTTTTTTTTTTTCATTATAATGGCAACAAATGTTCTTGTTATGAATTTTAAGTCTAATTTCTTTTTTTATAAATGTACAGGTTGATAAGGTTGTATCATAACATATCAGTTATTATATCAGGAATATTTCATCGAGCTAGGAACTTAATTATTTCCTTTCTCAATGTATAAAGCTTATAATAGTGTTACTTATTATCTCCCTTTGCGTTGCTTGTCCAGAATTCTGTTACAGTCAGAGACGTACATGTTTTTGCGTGTTGATTAGAGAAACTTGTCTTAGGACAGGTTGGTGCTTTTAATAAATTGTTACTTTGCTCATGTTTTCTAAATATATATCAGTAGAAAATAGCCTTACTGTTAAATGATTCCTGTTATAAGAAAGGTACAGTTGGATGATAATCCATGTAAACTGTGTAAAGGTATACACAGTTGTTACATGTACATGCATTAAGAAGTTCAATAGATTTCTTGCTTACTACACATTTGTACATATACAACATTAATACTTTCTCAGAGAGTGTCTTTAAAGCAGAGCAAGGAAACACTACTTATCCCGTATTTTCGTATTTTGTACCGTAAAATAAATTATTCATTGACAATTGTGACGTTTGTTCTGTTGATGAAAACAAAAAGATATATGAATAAATATTTAAAAAAAAAACCCCAAAAAACCAAAAACACCAATTTTAAATATTGCCTGTTGTATTACATGTACACAGTCATCCAGCCTCTAACTCTTATCGATAACAACGAGGCTTTGGTTCAAAAGTTGAATTTACCTACTTATTGTCACGGTGGAATTTTTAAACCAGTGCAATAAACGAGAATTCCACGGAAGTGGGTGTGTTGCTTGCCCAGTAAGGTTTCTGGAGATGAGTTATATAGAAAAATAGCCATGTATATTTATTGTATTTATTCCATTTATATATATATTGTCCATCAGTTGTTTGAGGGATGAGTACACTTGCAGATTGGATGTGTAATTTCGAAGGGAAAATGAATGCCGAGGATATATCCGTATATCACAATTATGCGCTGAATTAAAATTTAAAAAGTACCGATTTGCCCTAAATACGGCAGGAACAGAGACAACTCACTTGAAAAGCAATCTAAAACACGCCCATTTGGTTAAGAAACAATACATGAAGTTTGAGTCTAATTGTCCAAAGAAAAGTAATCACATAACACCATTGTTTTTGTTTACACATACAATGACCTTGACCTTTGACCTTTTGATATGAAAAGCAATCTCAAGCTAATACCTTTGATAAGGTTATTGAACGAAACGAAATTTAATGTTTATAGTAAGTGGCCTTGACCTTTGGCCTTCAAACCCGAAAAACAATTTGAAGCCCTTTTGATGAGGAAGCACTGCATGAAGTTTGAGTGTAATTGTCCAAAGCAAATTCAAATTCATTCACATGAAAAACCAATTCACTGTATATGGTAAAACTGCCCTCGACATTTGACCTACAAACCACAAAAGCAATCCGAAGGAAGCGCTTTTGGCAAGGAAGGATTGTATGAAGTTTGATGTTGGTCTGCCAAACAAAGGGAACTGAAGTTATCATGAAAAAAAAAATTCCTATTTGTAGCAACGTAGACTTGGACCTCTGACCTTTGAACCCGAAAAACACTTCAAACCAAGCACATCTGATTAAGAATCACTGTATGGAGTTTGAGGTAGATCGGCCAAAGCGTACTAAAGTTGTCGCAAAGAAAGTCCTATTTATAGTTACGGTGGCAGGCAAAACAAAAAGAGCCCTATCTATGTCCAGGTGAACTTGTTGGAAAAACGATTATTTCAAGAAATTGTTCGGAGTCATTATACTGGAAATGCAGCGGACCAAACATTGCTTCACCTTCGAAACAAAATATCCATTATAGTTCTAGTTCCAAGTCTGTGCTTTGTCAAACGATAACCACAATCTACAAACACAGGTACTTCTTTTTATTCCTATTTTGTCCTCGTTTCATTGAATATGAGTTTGAATTCAGATTCTGATGACTTGTCGGTACTGTCTTTGTTATTTTTTATCTTTGAAGGTAATTACGTGTTCGACAGTGGCGTATATCATCCTCAAGCCCAATACATGATGCTGTGTTTGTTTCTCTTCAATGGCGTGACTGCTTTTCCTCTAGATCGTTCTTAATTCCAAATGTAATAAGCCTTACACAAGTAAACTCTGTACTTACCATTTTTTAAGCGCTCACTATCGGCGGTGCATTGAAAGCAATAAAAAATAATTGTTGGCCCATATTTTGTCTTATTATTGAAATCAACAGTTCTTAAGAGTTAGAAATTGCATATTTTCACGTGAAACGTGCCGATTGGATCAATGTTTTAAAATGTTTTCTATCAATAAGGTAAGTTGGAAGTGCATTTTTATGAAGGGAGTCACGAAGGATATCAGGTACATGGACGAAAATGAATGAGAAAAGTGTAGATAGCGTTCGTAAGGTCAGCAAGATTAACCTGCTTAGTTGTTTATTTACAGTATACTCAAGTAGGTATTTGAACGTTTTGATGGATTTTGTAGCTAAATTGAGAGGAATATCTGCATTGTTTTAAATTATGTTTTTCTCATTATATTTAATATCAAAATATCATATCCGAACCCGCGTGGTGTCTAACTCTGAAATACAATGTTAGTTTTTTTAGTAAAAGTATTGCCGAAGTCATGGTTTATTAACAATGACAAAAAAAAACTGCTGTTTAACATGAATGCATAGAATGTACGGCCCAAGGCTTGAGGAAATATAATTTATTTTGTAGTTCGGGACGTCCGAATCTGTCAAAAAATACCATAATCATTATTAAACATCTGTTGTGGTGTCCTTTGTATAACATAAATATGATTTGTATCTTACTGCTGTAACAGACATACATTGTGACACTGGTGTGCTTATCAGGCTATCTGTTATACTGTGTATCTTTTATCAACTTACAGTATGTTAAAAAGTGAAGCTGATAGAACTAGTGTCTCACAGACTTCTACTCGTGTTACTTTATACTGTTACAGGAGACAAAACGTTAGGAGTCATTTCACAAACAATGTAGCTTTATTCAATATTCGGTGATTAAATGAAAGGACATCTTTTCCATTTCGTATTGTGTTGTAATGAATAGAGTATTTGTCGAGAAGGATTCTTTTAAACCTACAGTAGTATGACACACTGAAATTTTACTATCAATACCAGGATCTCTATCGTTATCTAATTCTTCTTCAATGTTTACATTTTGCACAAGATCATAAGCATTCGTTATAAACATGCAATCTTATCATTTTTCTTACACTCCAGGAGTTAAAAGAAAAAAATACCCAATAACGTCTATAAAATATATGTTATTCAAAAAAATACTGACGTG